CATTCAGTGTCATCAACAGAAAGGGAAAAAGGCAGGAAGAGACAATAAAGCCTATAATTAAAATGAGGTCAATAGTTCAATAGTTTTAAATTATCGTGCGATTAATTGATTTATCGTTTATCGGGACAGGCCTAGCTGCAGCACTTAAAACTATACCTAACATAGCAACACCACAGCATATGATAAAAGCATTGGAGGGGGAAAAATAATAATTGCCTACATTTGAAATTAAATTATTTCATTTTATTTGTGTCCCAGAGACCTGTCTGATGTCACAGAGGTCGACCTCGCTCTAACCTCCAGCACAGTGACCGAGCTGGCAGAGGCCCGGAGAACCACCTACCTTTCCGGACGCTGGATCTGGGACGACCAGAATGGAGAGACCAGCATCAGCATCACAGGGACACCGGTTGTTTTGCCAAGCAACGGAGACTGCTCTGCCTACTACAGCTGGGTGGAAGAGAAGAGCACCAGCTCTGGCCCAGGTAAGGAGGCTGGCTTAAAAAATAAGATGATGTTAAGATTGATCAGCCATCGATCATTATCAGTGAAAAAGTCCATGAAAAAGTATGTGATAGCTTTTGTTCTATTTATATTTTGTTCAGACTTTTTTAATCTAAACAGAAGGATTTTTTTTATTTTAACACTTTGAGAATACTTTAATACTTTCCTAAATATAGTAGTTGCAGGAACATAAACTTATGTTTTTTTTTGTTGGGTTTTATATAATACTGCAAAAAACCTGTTGAGTTAATTTTATCAAATGAGTAACTATGATTTCTGGGGGGTTTTGTTACAAATTTTATCATTAGTCAGAATGCGTTGAAATATCGTCCACTCCTAGTTAGCGCCATACTGTTAATTTATTTATATATTTCATCACACACAGACAAGCATACACACAGAATCATGTTTACATAGTACTTAAGCTACAAGATAACAGTCCAGTGCATGAATCAGGTTTCAGAAAAAACTATTGAAAGCTCAACACTGCTCTGCACCAATCCCCACTTCGCAGGCAGACAGCCGTTCTGGAGCAATTTCCACTGCTTGCATACCTTCTCAGCTCTGCTGTGAACCACAGAGAGGTTCTACAAGATGCATGTGCAGGAAATGAGAGATCACACAATAAAGCCAGTGTTAAAAAGGATGAATGGTGTCATATAAAATACAAAAGTTCTCAACTTCCAAATTTAATATTTCCTGCCCACTGCTCTCTCTGGCTTGACTGGTGCTCCTGCTGTGACTTGAGCGAGAAACTTAATTTGTTTCAGAATGAACTCCACATATGCACAGCCATAACTCATACACGCTGACACCATATAAATATACCCATATTTTCATAAAAATAGGTGTTATCTTGTGCAAATATATATAGCACTACTTAATGTACTAAGGGACTAGATGGCATATGATATCAGAAGACTAAATTAATCTACTGGAGCTGTTGTCAGTAATCATTAAGAAGTAATACAAAAGAATAACTGCTTTTCAATACCAGGTGTTTTAAAGAAGGGAAAATTAAAGTGAACGCCACAAGACACAAAACATACATAAAACCCAAAAAATAAATACAAAATATATATACACAGTACTGCAGTAAATCTTCCATATAAATGTACAGATTGTTTCTTGACTGAAGAGGCTGTTGGAACAACAGAGTTCTCTACATCATCAGGAGGTGATGACTTTCTGAGTGTTTTCTCCACTTTGAACTTTAGTGGAGGTGGAACTAGATAGAATGGAATCTCTTCTTGTTCACAGTCCTCACCCTGTGCAGAGTCATCAGGAGATTCTTGCCATTTCTTGGTTTGTTGATGTGTCTGGGGTTTTGTGACTGGAACTGTCTCAGTTGATCTTTCAGGATATGTCATATGGAGAAAACCACATGGAAGAAGAAGGTCTCTGTGTAGTGTGTGCATTGGGCCATCTTTGCACTCTGGTTTTACTGTATAAATTGGAAGATCTCAGCACACTTCACCACTACAAAGACATCTTGTTCCCATTTATCACATAGTTTGTGTTTACCTCTGAGTCTCACATTCTGCACAAGTACTCAATCTCCAACTTCCAGCTTGGATGGTAGAACCCGCTGATCGAACCGAGTCTTGTTTCTTGCAGCACTTCTGGCAGAGTTCTTTGATACCATCTGATAACTCTCTTTCAACAGTGACTTCAGATTCTGTACATACTGCGAATGTGATGGACATTTCACTTCGCAAACAGTAAGACCAAAAGCAAGATCAATTGGGAGTCGAGGACAGAGTCCAAACATAAGTTCGTAAGAAGTATGTAGGACCACATCATTTGCAAAAAGCAATTGATGCAGTTCTCAGCCACCAGTCGAGAATTGCTTGACTGGCTGCGCCAACACCTTGCACCTAGAAATTCTGTCCATAAAAGTAATGAACAGAATCGGTGACAAAGGGCAACCTTGGCGGAGTTCAACTCTCAAAGGAAACAAGCCTGACTTACTGTCATCAATGCGGACCAGTTTCTGACCAATGTTGTACAGGGACCTAACAGCCCGTATCAAAGGGTCCAGTACCCCATACTCCCAGAGCACCCTTCATAGGGTTCCCCAAGGGACATAGCCAAACACTTTTTCCAAGTCCACAAAGCACATGCAGACTAACTGGGCGAACTCTCACAGACCCTCCAGGATCCTGCTGAAGGTGTAGAACTGGTCCAGTGTTCCACGACCAGGACGAAAACCACACTGCTCTTTGTGAATCTGAGGTTCGACTATCCGATTGACCCTCCTCTCCAGGACCCCTGAATAGAATAAGAGTGTGACCCCTCTGTGGTTGAGCACACTCTGCAGTCCCCCTTTTTGAGTAGGGAGATCACCATTCCTGGTCTGCCAGTCCAGGGGAACTCCCCGTGATGTAAAAGCAATATTGCAGAGTCGTTTCAACCAGCACACACCCTACGACATCCAGGAACTCGAGGCGAATCTCATCAACCCCTGGGGCCTTGCCACCGAGGATCTGTTTAACCACCTTGGCAACCTCATCACCAGAGATTGGAGAGCATGACCCAGAATCACTCCTGCCCAGTGCCAAGGGGAACTCGAGTGGAAGAGTGTCCAACCATTCTCAAGGAGACTGGTTCCAGAACCACAGCCATGCATTGAGATGAGACCAATTATTTCTATCTGGAACCGTTCAACCTCACACACCAGTTCAGGACTTCTTCCCATTCAGAGAGGAGACATTCCACTTCCACAGCTTCTGTAGCTGAAGATCAGATTGTCAAGGTCCCCACCCTTGGCTACCACCCATCTCACACTGCACCCAACCCCTTTGACCCCTCCCACAGGTGGTGAGCCCATGGGAAGGGGAACCCGCTTCTCCTCTTCGGGCTGTGCCCGGCTTGGCTCCATGGGTTAAAGCCCGGCCACCAAGCGCTTGCCAACATGCCCCACTTCCAGGCTGTTACTGTTCCTGGAAAACTGCTTATCCGTTGTTATCAGTGGCTATGCTAAGTAAGCCTGAGCTTTCACGACATCCAATGCTATCAGGAAGAGTTTATTTGATTTTGTAAATGTGGGGGGGTGGTTGATTGCTTATGATGCCTGGAAACATTTTTTTTAATTATTATTTTCAGAACTTTATGTAAAGATCAACAAAAGCACACAAAAACAACCCACCCCAAATCAACAAGGAGCACTGCAATGTCTACATGAAAACATACAGCCTTCATACACAAAATACAGACATTCTGCGGTATGGTTCAAAGTAGAAAGTCCCCAAACTGTCGAAGGGCAGCAGAGTGAGTGACACATTGAATGTAACAAAAAGGGTGGAGTGGTCAGTCCTTATCTCCAGTTGATATCACAGTCTATGTAAGAAAGATTGCAATGGGTTCCAGATCCTCCAGAATTTTTCTGACGTTTGATGAAGATCGTGAATCAGTTTTTCAACTGAGATAATAGCAGATATTTGTGATATCCACATATCAACTATAGGGTCCTGTGGTGCTAACCACCTTGGTAGTATACATTTCTTGGCCAGAAACTTAGTACCTGCAAAGATTTTGTATCTGCATTAACCTGTTGGTCTCAGGTTGTCATTCACAATGACAGGGGTGTCAAACTCCAGTCCTCAAGGGCCGCTGTCCTGCAGTGTTTAGATGTGCCACAGGTAAAAAACAGTGGAATGAAATGGCTTAATTACCTCCTCCCTGTGTAGATCGGTTCTCCTGAGCCTTGCTAATGACCTAATTATTCTTTTCAGGTGTGGTGCAGCAGAGGCACATCTAAAAGTTGCAGGACAGAGGCCCTTGAGGACTGGAGTTTGACACCCCTGTCACGAGAGGACCCAAATTTGGGTCCTCTAGTGACAGACAGGTTAAGTAAAATGTCCGGAGTATGATTAAAAAACTCTTGTATCGTCAGATTAACCACTTTCTAGAAAATGTGAATACAGTTGGCCCTGTGTATTTGATCTGAAGCATCAGGGAACATCTCCTGAAGGCAAACAGGTGTATAATAAGTTTGGTAGAAGAATTTAAAGTTCTGCTCATGTATAGAAACAGAGGTGCATTTGGGGAAAATTCAATTACAGATCTCTCCCCAATCTGCTGGATTGAATGTCAGCCCGAGGTCATGCTCCCTCACCAGCTTCACAGCATCATTACCTGAGGAGTCAGAGCCAGATAATAAACTATATATTTTAAAGTTAAGCCCTTTAGGAGACTTGGCCATGACAATTATATTTTCTAACTCAGACATTTTGTGAGAGAACTCACAAAATTACAGATCTTTAGTTATGTATAGAAATCTCTGTTAGAAGTATTGAAATTGGCTCTAATTTGTTCAAAGGGTTTAACAGTCAAGAGTCCAGTATGTCCATAATAATTGACAGTCCTTTAGATTGACCATTCAAACAAACCAATGCTTCTAATCTGTGAAGGTAAATCTGGGTTCAAAGTTAATAGCGACCAAGAACAGAGGGTGGGGGAGATATTTAGATACAGTGCCTTGCGAAAGTATTCAGCCCCCTTGAACTTTTCAACCTTTTCCCATTTTTCAGGCTTCAAACAAAGATCTAAATTTTTTATTATTTTGTGAAGAATCAACAAGTGGGACACAATCGTGAGGTGGAGCAAAATTTATTGGATATTTAAATGTTAACAAATAAAAAACTGCAAAGTGGGGCGTGTAATATTATTCAGCTCCTTTACTTTCAGTGCAGCAAACTCACTCCAGAAGTTCAGTGAAGATCTCTGAATGATCCAATGTTGTCCTAAGTGACTGATGATGATAAATAGAATCCACCGGTGTGTAATCAAGTCCCCTTATAAATGCACTTGCTCTGTGATCGTCTCAGGCAGGGGTGGATCTAGAAAAATATTTATGGGGTGGCAAGAGGTGGGCAGGGATTTTCTCAGGGGTGGCAGCGTATGCCAGTATCCATCCATCCACCCATCCATCCACCCATCCATCCATCCATATAGATAGATAGATAGATAGAGACCAGAC